TTAATTTTTTTTGATTTATCAATAATCACTTCCATATGCTTTTGAGTTTAAAATTTTTCTCCCCCTTCCTCTCCACCACCCTCCCCAAGATGGTACACAATCAGATATAGGCTATACATTTACATTCATATTAAACATATTTTCACATTAGTGATGTTGTAAGTAGAAATTAAAATCAATAGGAGGAACCATCACAAAGAGGAAACAAAACTCAACAGAAGAGAAAAAAAATAACAATTCAGCTTCCATAGTTCTTTCTTTGGGTATGGATAGCATTTTCCATCACAAGGCCTCTGGAGATGTCTTAGATCCTTGTATTGCCAGGAAGGGTTAAGTTTATCAATATTAGTCATCACACAACATGGCTGATATTGTGTACAATGTTCTCTTGGTTCTGCTCACTTCACTCAGCGTCAGACCATACAAGTCTTTCCAGGTTTTTCTGAAGTCAGCCTGATCATCATTTCTTATAGCACAATAGTATTTCATCACATTCATATACCAACATTCATATACCACAACTTGCTCAGCCATTCCCCAATTGATAGGCATCCTCTCAATTTCCAATTCTTTGCCACCACAAAAAAGAGCTGCTAGGAATATTTTTGTACATGTAGGTCCTTTTCCCATTTGTGTGATCTCTTTGGGATATAGCCCCAGAAGTGCTATTGCTGGGTCAAAGGGTATGCACATTTTTATAGCCCTTTGGGCATAGTTTCAAATTGCTCTCCAAAATGGTTGGATCATTTGAGAACTCCACCAACAATGCATTAGTGTTCCAATTTTCCCACATTTCCAACAATTTTCCCACTCCAACATTTATCATTTTCCTGTTTTGTCATGTTGGCCATTCTGATAGGTGTGATGTGGTACCTCAGAGTTTGAAAATCCTTAAATCTCGTCCAGGCTAACTGCCCATACATCTTGTTCCATTTGGGCCCACAGGGCAGGCAGGAGTGCAGTCACTTTTCTCTCAGTTGATCTGACTATAATAATATCATCAATATAGTAGAAGACTCTAATGTCAGAGTCAAACTGGAGATTTGGCCACTGTCCATCTTACTCAGTGATGGCAGATGGCCGGGCTACTAATATATCCTTGGGGAAGGGTAGTAAAGGTATATTGCATTCTCTGCCAAGTAAAAACACTTCTGGGCTTGGGTCTCCTCTCTTAGGAGAATAGAAAAGAAAACAATGGCAAGGTCTACTCCACCAGTGTATTCTATTCACTGTGCGTGGCTACCAGAGTTTCACTCACAGTCACCATGTTTGCTACGACAGGGGCAACTGTGTCCACAACAGGCATCAGCTTTTGATAGTCTATAGTCAGTGACCAAGTACCATTGGTTTTATTCATTGGCCACATGGGCTGGTAGATGGTCCAGGAGTATGACTCCAGAATGCAATAGTTATTGTATTAATGCAGTGATCTCTCTCTCCCCATCTGGAATTCTATATTGCTATTGTTGGATCACATTGGTTGGAAAGGACAACTGGAGGAAGGGTAGGTCATAAACTGCTACCCACTCCACAATTAGTTCAAGGAGATGGGCAGTAGTAGTATACTATGACCAGCTGGCATAATAGTCTGCCCATTTAAGGTGATTCAGCAAGTCTATGCCTATGATACATTCTTCAGTGGGGGTTGCCACTGCAATACATTTTACAGGCTGGAAAATGTGCAATTATGGTAGTCTCTTAGGACCTGGACCAAAGTCACTGAGGGGAATTCTCTTATCCCTTAAAAGTGAGCATCCTGACATTGCAGAGTCCAAGAGACCAAGAAAATTTTTAGTTCTCTCATTTGGCCATTCAGTTGTCATTTGAGCATATGGCCTGTGATCCCCTGGGGAAGTAGCTAGCTTGGGGACCATGTCCCACCTTTATTCCTATTTATCCAATTTGAAGGGTTTGAGGTTAGGATAAATGGCAGACATCTGGTGCATGTATTCTTTCCCTGCCTGGGAGGTAGATGGAAACAACAAGGTTGGAGTCTGGGGTTTGTAGTCTCACAAAACAAAAATCCTCAAGCTAAACATGACAAAACAGCAAAATGATAAATGTTGGAGAAGATATGGGAAAATTGGAACACTAATACATTGTTGGTAGACTTGTGAACTGATCCAACCATTCTGGAGAGCAATTTGGTACTATGCCCAAAGGACTATAAAACTGTGCATACCTTTTGACCCAGCAATACCACTTCTAGGTCTGTAAGAGATCATAAAAATGGGAAAAGAACCTACATGTACAAAAATATTTTTAACAGCTCTTTTTGTGGTGGCCAAGAATTGGAAATTGGGGGATGCTCATCAAGGGAATGACTGAACAAGTTGTGATATATGAATGTAATGGAATACTATTGTTCCATAAGAAATGATAAGCAGGTGGACTTCAGAAAAACCTGGAAGACTTATGTGAACTGATGCTGAGTGAAGTGAGCAGAATCAGGAGAACATTGTACACAGTAATAGCAACGTTGTGCAATGACTAACTTTGATAGACTTACCTCATCTTAGTAATGCAAGAAGAGCTGTCATTCACAGTTGTTCATCATATAGTATTGCTGTTACTGTGTACAATGTTCACCTGGTTCTGCTAACTTAACTTTGCATCAGTCCATGTAAATCTTTCCAGTTTTTCTGAAATCAGTCTGTTCATCATTTCTTATAGCACAATTGTATTCCATTACAATCATACACGACAACTTGTTCAGACATTCCCCAATTGATGGGCATCCCTTCAATTTCTAATTCTTTGTCACCACAAAAAGAACTATCCTAAATATTTTTGTACAAATAAATCCTTTCCCCTTTTTTAAAAGCTCTCTTGGGGCAGTTAGGTGGCACAGTGGATAGAGCACCAGCCCTGGAGTCAGGAGGACCTGAGTTCAAATCCGGCCTCAGACACATAATACTTATTAGCTGTGTGACCATGGGCAAGTCACTTAACCCCATAGACTAGCCAAAAAACAAAAAAACAAAAAAAAAGCTCTCTTTAGGATACAGACCCAGTAATGGTATTACTAGATCAAAGGGTATGTATAGTTTAATAGCTCTTTAGGTATAGCTCCAAATTGCTCTCCAGAATGGTTGGATCTGTTCTCAACTCCACCAACAATGTATTATTGTCCCAATTTTCCCATATCCCCTCCAACATTTATTATTTTCCTTTGCTGTCATATTAACCAATCTGATAGGTATGAGGCGGTAACTTGGAGTTGTTTTAATTTGCATTTCTATAATCAATACTGATTTAGAGCATTTTTTTCATGTGATTATAGATAGCTTTGATTTCTTCTTCTGGAAACTGCCTGCTCATATCCCTTAACAATTTATCAATTGGGAAATGACTTGTATTCTTATAATTTTGGCTCAGTTCTCTATATGTTTAAGAAATGAGGCCTTCATCAGAGACACTGGCTGTAAAAATTGTTTCCCAACTTTCTGCTTTCTTTCTAATATTAGTTGCATTGTTTCTATTTGTGCAAGAAATTTTAAATGTAATATAATCAAAATTATCCATTTTACATGGATTAGTAATGCTCTCTTTCTCTTATTTGGTCATAAATTCTTCCCTTCCCCATAGATCTGACAGGTAAATTATTCCTTGCTCTCCTAATTTGCTTATTTGATATGATATGATATATACATTTTACGTCTAAATCATGTACCCATTTTGACCTTATCTAGGTAGTTGGTGTAAGATGGTGGTTTTTACCTAGTTTCTGCCATACTTTTTTCCAGTTTTCCCAGTAGATTTGTCAAATAGGGAGTTCTTGTCCCAAAAGCTGGGGTCTTTGGGTTTATCAAATACTAGATTACTGTGGCTATTTAGTGTACCTTGCATACCTACATCTATTCTACTGATCCATCACTCCATTATCAGGTTGGGTATGTTGAGAAGTTGTCTGTCACATTATGGCAGAAGCAGCATACCTCTCCATTGGTGATGTCAGGTCTACAAATAACTTTCTTGGCACTCTTCAGCTTGGACTTGTCACTATTATCACCACTTGCTACCACTTGCTTCTTCTTTTTCCAACTATTGTTTTGTGATTTCTCTCCTCACAGCATGACTGGATCCATAACATCATCTCTAGGATTTTAAGTATCTGTTTCCTCCTGACTGGGTCCTCTCTTCACATAAGAGTTTTTAATCCATAATTTTGCTTTGAATGATTATTTTCCCTTTTTCCTTCAATCTCCTGAAACTAACCAAGAATTTTTTCTGCTTCTTCAGCTCCTTTTAATTTTTCTGTTTTGGCCTTGAAGTCTTTCTTCCATTTTCCCAAATGGAAGTGCCTTACAAAACTTTATAGCCTTGACTATATAAATGTGAACTGGTATTATTCAGTGAACACTCCATTCTCCCTAATAATCTGGAAAGTAAACAGATCTTCTTTTCTAGGAGAAAGACTAGGTTATTACACTTTAAGCAATGATCCTGACACTAATTGATTGTGACAGAAAGTCACAAAACAAGCACACAATGAAGGGCAATGCAAAATCTCCTTGCCTTCTCTACTTGTTGGATGTGAAGCTTTCAGCTTTTTTGGTCAGACCTTGTGGAAACTGAGTATACAATTTCTTCCCTGATGCATTTCAACATCAGTGCAAATCTACCTGTCTCTTGGTCTCTGCTTCCTCAGGGGAATCCCATACTTTTTCAACCTTAATGCAACTAAAATAACTGAGTGGTTTCAGAGGGAAAGTGGAGGAAGTTTCTTAAGGCTTTTGCCCACATTTTCTATGGATATCAGAACAGAGTTACAAGGACTAGTTCTGGGACCTTGAGGGTGATTAAGTTCCATGAAAATTATGAAGAATTAGGTTATGTTTCTGTTAAAAGGAGCAAATATGGTGCTTGTATTATGTTCTACACAGCATCATCTTGAAGCACTTGACCAGAATCTCTCTCCCTCACACTTATCTCTAGGATATACTCCTATGTCTCCAGAAAAATTCTTCAACAAGATAAATGAGGGAAAAAAGACTCACTAATGGCCTGTGAATTTTCATATGGAAGTACTCAGAAAGTCCACTCCAATTTTCAATTTATCTCTGTTGGGTACGAAGGTGGTTCAGGTCTGTGGTGTCTCTGTGGAAAGCATAGACATATATTCGGCTCTTGAGATACAAGGTAAAATACTCAGTTCCTTCTCCCAACCCCCTGAAACTTATATTTTGAATTTGCTCCTTCATTTCTCCAGAGGCACTTCAGTATGATATTGACATTTCTTTGGTCCTCCTCTTCCCCATTCTGTTCTTTAAGAATCATTTTCTAGCTATAGACCCACAAGAAAAATGGCAAGAACTTGAGTTTTGTATCTTGGGATTTGGCTGGTTTTATTTAGGTTTGTTGAAGCTATTAACTCTTTATGGTACATCCAGGAAGGAACTCAAACATCCTTGGCAGCAGGATGGGGCCTCTAAACTGATTGTCTCATCCCACTCTCCTGGGGGAAAAAATGTGCAGTGTCTGTTACTGAATTTGGGACAAACTTCCTGGAGCTGAAAGCCTTAAAATAGCCCAGTCATTGTTTCTCCCCATGAAGCGGGTTCTATATTGGGATCATTTGGAGAAGTGTGGAAAACCAAAGAAAACCTAATCTATGCCACTCTGTCTTTCAGAACAATAACATTAATTAAAAGTCAATTCCTTGGATATTTCATCTCACTAACAAAGTGTGCAAGCTCTCTGTGGGATCAAGAATTATCCTTTCAAGGCAGTTGTTTGCACTTTAAAATGTTATTGGAGTCTAAGCATCCTACAATTTTGACAATGCACTTTTTCACAATTTCTGCATCATTAAATAGCTTCCCCTTTCCCCCAAGTATATAAGTTACTTTATAAGTTGCTTCAGTGGCATTATTTCCAGGTCTTATTGCTCCTTGAAAGAATTGTCTTTGCTTTTGCTTTTCATCTGTTAATTTCTGCAATAATAACCTTTCATCTCTCTCTCTCTAATTTTAAATATTTGTGATTCTTATGAGTGTTATAATGCTGATGAGCATTGAATTTCTTTAATGTCCATGTTGCAGTGTCACAAAGCAAGAAAATCATCTTTTAAAAATCTTTAGCAGACAAAAACAACAAAAAATTTTTTTAAAATCTTTAGCAGGAACAAGATAATATTGCAATTCCCAACCCTCAATAAAATTTTTTGGTTTTCTTCAAGAAAAAAAGAATTATCCTTTTAAGTGTTCAGACATTACATCCTTCTCAAGTACAGGGCTTGAAGTAAGACAAATTAGATGAGTCAATAAGTAATCTTGTGAACTAAGATGGAGATACATGGATTCTCATCCCAGTTTGGTCGCTCACTTATTCTGTGACCTACAGCAAGTCATATCCTTTCTGTGAGCCTCAAGCTCCCCATCTGTAAAATAAAAGGATTGGATGAGATTACTAAAGCCCCTTTCAGTTTATCAATTTAACCACTCTATAGCATTTAAAAATAAGGCTTTGAATGCCCACTATTTGCCCAGTCCTGGGCCAGAACTGCAGGGACTTATAAGAAGAGAAGAAGACACAGTCCTTGTCCTTGAGGATTTTCAGTCTCAGGGAAACAAGACCTACACACATGAAAAGTAGATAATAAATCCAAATTGTTGATAAAATTATATGGTTTACAAGACCCTCTTCCTCTTTTTTCTCTTTCTTCTCTTCCTCCTCCTCCTCCCCCTCCCCCTCCTCTTCTCCCTCCCCTCTTCCTCCCCCTCCTCCTCCTCCTCCTTATTCTCCTTCTCTTTCTCCTCTTCCTCCTCCTCTCCTCCTCCTCCTCTTCTCCTTCTCCCCCTCCTCCTCTCCTCCTTCTCCTCCTCCTCCTCTCCTCCTCCTTCTCCTTCTCCTCCTCCTCCTCCTCTTCTCCTTCTCCTTCTCCTTCTCCTTCTCCTCCTCCTCCTCCTCCTCTTCTCCTTCTCCTTCTTCTCCTTCTTCTCCTTCTCTGCCTCCTTCTCCTCTTCCTTCTTTTCCTCCTCCTCTAGTCCCATATCATCAATTTCCTATCGGGTATTTTGAACTGGAAATCTCATATGCATCTTAAACAATATATCCAGAACAGAATTCCTTCCCCCAAAACAAAATAGTTTCCCTATTTCTGTCAAGAGCATTACCATTCTTACAGTTATCTAGGATTCACTTCAAAATTGCCCTCAACTCTTCACTCTTTTGTCTGACATTTTCATTAGTTGCCAAGTTCTATCAATTCTACCTCTACAACACCCCTCACGTTCATCTTCTTCCTACTCACATGGCCGCCAGCATAGTTTAGGCTTTCGCCTCCTATCACCATTATTGTTGCAATAGCCTCCTCACTGGTTTCTCTGCCTCAAGTCTCTGGCCTCTGTAATGCATCTTCCACACAGTGTTCAAAGGACTAATCTGCAGATCTGATCATGTCACTCTCCTGTTTAGGAAGTTCCAGGAGCTACCTATTGCCTCTGTAATCAAATATAAACTTTGCTTGGCATTTGAAGTACTACATGCCCAGACTCTGACCTACTTTTACTGGATTATTACTCATTACTTCTCTTTATACATTCTTTAGCCCACCGAACCGAGCCTTATTACTAGTCCAAACTCATGACATTCCATCTCCCATCACTGTATTTTTGCGCAAGTTGTCTGCCATTCCTGGAATGTACTCCATCCTCACCTATATCTCTTAAAATCCTTTAGTACTTTAAAATCTCAGCTCATGTTACCTCCTAATTGAAGCTTTTCCTGACAGTTGCTGATGTCTCCCAAATTATTTCATATTTACTTTGTGTGTGTATATGTATATATACCTATACATATACACACAAATATTTACATACATATATGTGTACACGTTTTTTTCCTTCAATAGACAAGCTCCTTGAGAGCAGGGACTACTTGATTTTTGTCTTCATATCCCTAGTGCTTTGAACAGTACCTGTGAATGTTTCACTGTAGGGATCCAATTGTTATTTATTCCTCTGTTAGGTAGGTTAGTGTCCTAACTCCTCAGCAATGCTTCTGTGATTAATGAATCACCACCATAATAAAAAAAGTAAATGATTATTTATACAATTTTCCCTTTCTGTTTTTAATTTATGGGAAGTTGCAACATTCCTAACAACATTGATTCATTGAGAATCAATTACTCAGAATTCAATTAACATGTCTAAAAATAATAAGATCTGAGATCTTATTATTTTTAGACATGTTAATTGAATTCTGAGTAATCTGTCACAGAGGATAGAGAGAAACATGGCTGCTGGCTGTTGGGTTTATGATTGGAAGGCTTTGTATTTCCATGGTTATTTGATCAACATTTACTTTTTTTCAGTGATGAATTTTATTTTATTATATCAGAATCATTTCCCAACACATTCTCTTTCATTTATTCTTTTCTAATAAAAAAAAACTGATAAAGTGATTGTGTCTAATGGACAGACACCATTCTGCCCCCATCATTCCCCACTTTTCCAAATTTCCTGCTCTTATCTCTGTGACCATAGTTAGTCCTTGTAGTCAATTGAAGATCAGCAACATTTCAGCATTAGTGGTTCCTCCTCCTTGTCCAGTCATGAGGCACTTCTCTCATCCTTTACTTTTTTTTAAACATTTGCCAAATTCTTATTTAGTATTTTATTTTTCCCAGATTACATGTAAAAGCAATTTTTAACATTTATTTTTAAAATTTTGAGTTCCAAATTCTCTCCCTACCTCTCCCCCGACTCTTGAGAAGGCAAGCAATTTAATACATGTTATACATACGTAGTCATGCAAAACATATTTCCATTTTGGTCATGTTGTAAAAGAAAACAGACAACAACAAAAAACAAGAAAAATAAAATAAGCTTTAAAAAAGCATGCTTCAATCTGTATTCAGACACCATCAATTCTTTCTCTGGGATGAATAGCATTTTTCATAAGTCCTTCAGAATTGTCTTGGGTCATTGTATTGCAGAGAATAGCTAAGTCATTCACAGTTTGATCAACATTTATTGAGAGCCTATTCTCTCTAGTACCCATCTCATATGGTATTATGAAGTTCAAGTGAGATAATATATGTCAAGTGATTAAAAAAAAACTTTAAAGTATATACTTGAATGTAAGTTAATAATCATTGAAAGTGTTTCAGAATGTCCCAAATGTGGTTCAACCTTCTGTCTTTTTCTTAATTATTGTCCATCTGTATAATAATTGTCCATCTAACAATGTTTGTCCTGGACATATATACTGATGGAGTAACTCAATGAGCTACAGATTCAATTGAACATCATAATCTGGGAAATATGCATTCTTGTTTCATTCAGTTTTTCCTGTGGCAATGGATTACTAACCTAATTATTTTAAAGAGGTCTTGAAACTCATTAAGAAGGCATTGTAATGTGCCAGCGCTTTCTGCAATCAGCACCATATCATATACAAATAGCAACATCTGAAGAACCTTATTCCCTATTTATAAGGAATCCATTTTTCATTTTAACATTAAGTAAGACCTTCTCCATAACATTGGTTAACACTTGTGGCAAGCGTGCCTCTCTGTTTAAGTACTGCTCTTAATAATCAGAGCTTCACTGAGCAAAGTTTTGTCTGGGATTATATTCTACCAAGGACTCTTGTAAGATATAACTATAGGGATAGGACACAGTTTGTTAGAAGTGACTTTTTAAAGCTGTTTTTCTGTGCTGAGTCAAATGCTTCATTTTTTATAATCGGCAAAGAAAAAATAATCATACTTGTGTTTTCTGTATTTCAGTCATCTGTGTGGTTTCTGTAAAAAGAAATCTGTAGAAGACTGCCTGTTCTTTTCACATATTTTTATCATGGATATCCTTGATGTGTACATAGGCAATTCTAATAAAGACTTTACATATAGAAGAAAGTAGGCATATGTGGTTGTAGTCATATCTGTTTCTTTAGTTGCCCTTTTTTTTGGTAATAATAAAATCTGTGATTTTTTCCATTAGTTTGGAATCTTTCCCTTCTGAGAAATCTTGAAAATTAATCCTTTAGAGACTTTAATACTTTGTCTTCTCATGTACAGGTTTCCTTTTTGTGAATTTGATCAGGTCTAGCAACTATTTCTGTTTCCAAATATAGACCACTGTAAAAACGCACCTATTTATTGTCCTCTTTCTAATTTCATCTATAAATACACTTAGGATGATCTGTTTGGTTTTCATGTCAAGCTTTATGAATGTTGGTTTTCCCTCCCATTGATTCTTAAGCTAATAATGCTGTAATCATAACATCATGGGATTGTAAAATTAGAGCTAGAAGGGACCCTACAGGTAATTAAATTCAAATTCTTAATTTTGTAGATGACTGAGGCAGGATTCAAGCCCAAGTCACCCTGATTCCTAATCCAGCATTCCATCTACCTAACTACCCTGCTTCTTCTATCCTCTTTCATAATATCTTATAAATGAGTTTTTGTTGTAAACTATTCTTGCCCTTCTCTACCATCTTTCTACTTGGCCTGGGGAGCACATATTTGTTGGTAAAGATGGTTTCTGGCTCTTTTCTTTTTATTCATTGTGGTGATTGCTTGACACTCATTAATTTTCTCTAAGAAATGTCAAGAATCAGAGCCAGCATCTGCTTTAATCCACTTCCAATTTTTCGGAGTTAACTGCTGAATTAATTAGGTTGGATTGGAGCAGTTGTTTCTTCTTATCTTTATCTTTTCTTGTACCTGTGCTCTAACCACTCAATAACCTGACTGCACACAGACAGCTGATTCTGAAATGGCTCCCACCAGGTGTTTCCTGTCTGTTAAAATAAGTCAACTCATTTGTTATGATGTTGTTTGGTACCTATCACAGTAACTTCCAACCCTTTTTGTCAGTCAGTCAGCAAGCATTTGTTAATCACTTATTTTGTGCCAGGCACTGTACTATGCACTGGACATAGAAAGAACATACAAATTGATTTTCCTT